AAAGTGATAATTATCTTATTATAAGTAGATCTCAAAATCCACCCCTTCAAGCGCAAATGCTTTCTTCATGCTTTCTTCTTTTTCCACCTCTAGAAAATAGAAGATGCTAATTTAGAGACAGTATGAAATTAATCTTCCCTGTAGTTGTTACTATCACTGACATAATTACAATGAGTTTTATGTGTTAGTTCCTATGCAACCAATGCTTGCATACATTTTACAAGTCAAACCTATTATAGTTCCTTCTCTTAATGCTATTTGTTAGTACCATTTAGGACTAGAAATTGCTATAGGCTTATTGGAATGTGCTATGCTTCCTTTGGTCTTACTGAACACAGAAAATAAAAAAATATAGAGTGAAATTCCTCCTGCTTAAATGTAGGTACCTGCAGCCTAGACTTGAAGATGAGCGGGGTGCCCCTCAACGTTGGTGCAGACAACGGCGCCTCCACAGTGTCCCACCCCACTCTGAAGCAGGGTCCTAATTCTGGCTGCGTGAATCCCACCCTGAATCCCATTGCTAGCATTTACAAGGTCTCAGTGATCACAACAGGAGCCTAGACACCTAGCCCCATGTGCACACCTGCTCTGTAGACATCTAATAGTAGGTGAGATGATTTCCATCCAAGGAGTTTCAACTCCTTCAAAATTGCAGCTATTCCGACCATCAGGCACTAGATTGGAACCAGATCACCAGTCCCACTGTGATATTTTTTTCCCTAGATGAATTCCTAAAAGAGTGTAGGAGGGAGGGCTCCTCCTTGAGATGGTCCTTTTCTTCCTATGCACTGATCCCTGGAAGTTCCCAGGCAAGCCAGCTTTGCACAGCAGGTAAGTGGCCCATAGTCTTCCATATACTGTCCATCATGAAATGCATGGTGCTGCAGAAAAAGAATGTTAATTAAAACCCTGAAAAAGCAATCACAAGGATAAAGTAGTTTATGGTAGTCATAGTATAAAGGTTTTGTCAACAGATAGGAAGGGAGGCAATGATTGCAAGGAGCAGAAGGGGTGAGAGTGGGTTTATGATACAGGAAAAGGGGCCATGGTTTTCCTGTTAGGGCTGTCGAGAATAACGCAGCTGGTTGCACAGCAGTAGTTTTATAGCTTTTCCTCTCTTTCCCATTCAACCTGTCGTTCCGCTTCCAGTCTTGCCCAGTTTGGGGAACCTAGCACATAGTCCATTACAGTCATTTTAGACTCATCTCCGTTTTCTTAAGTTCCTTTGAAAAGGAAAATTGATCTGAAGAAGTGAAGAGCAAGGCTAATGCTTTAAGCATTAAATTTGGTAGATATTTGCAGCTTGTATGTATGACAGCAATGATCATCTAACTGTTTCAGTTCACCTAAGTCATCTATAAGACCACTGGAGGGTACCAACTAAAGGTTAGCCCTAATGTTTTGTAGGATAACCAGTTCCTTAATCTTACTCTGACAACCAGACAAAAATAGGCAAGCGATTGGTCTTATTGATGTTGCCTAATAAGTTTACTTTTTCCCTGTTGCTTCAGTACTGCAGTGAATCCTACAAACAGGAAAACTTGCATGTTTTAACTATTCAATTGAAGCTGTAGGAGAACCAAGGAACAAGGACTATTTCTTGCAGAGATACACTCCATATGAAAAAAAACCCCACCACAATCCGAAGCATTATTTTACAAGGATATTTTTGCTGTTTGTTGTGTTAAATACAAGTATAGGGACACATTATCTGCTGGGCTTTTTTTTCTGCTCGGGTAAGCCTGAGCTCTGGAGAGACCAGTGGACCTGGCTGTTGTGCAGGACACATCCACTCTGGGCACCTCTAGGACAGTGGGAGCTGCTGACTACAACAGACAACATGTCAGGCCTTAACAGACTTAAATTTCATAGGTATTTTGTCATAGTGACAGCATTTCTGTTAAAATCAGCAAAGGTAAAAGGATGGGAAAAGCCTGGGCAATCCTACAAATTAACGGTAAATAATTGCTGAAGCAGGAAGAGTTGGCGAAGAAACCCCAAGGAGAGAGTGACTGAAGCGATCTTTAAGAGAGAGTATTTGGGGAGTTGCCTTTCTGTGGCGATGACTTTACCGCATTCCTGTGCATCGCTGAGCCTTCCCGAAGAGCTGACGCACCCCCGGCACTGCTATGTGAAACAATCCAGCAAAACACCAGAGCAGCCTGCAGCTGAGAGAGCCGAGCAGCCGCTCTGCCTGCTAGTGACACCGCCGAGCAGCTCGCAGACAACAAACACAGCTGATGGGGACAACTGGCAGAGAGCACAGCTGGCAGAAGCAGCTACGAGCCAGTGCAGCGGCGAGGGGGTGGCGAGCAGCCAGGTGGAGTGGCTAAGTTCAGTTTAGACCACGAAGTCCTTTCTGGCTTCTCTGTACGAATGCAGAGTGGTGACACGTTAAGCTGACACAGCACCAGCCAAGCTCTGTCTTTTGGGACAACAGTTCAACCCCCGATCAGATGGATTATTAAATGAAAAGTGAGGGATGATTACAGGAGGAGGGTTGTGGCTGACATTTTCTTTGCTCTCTGGGGCCCACCAGGTCAGGACTGCAGCCGGTATGTTCTGAGAGAGAGAAGTTTTGTTTGCTGTAAGTTGTTTCTCACCCAATCCCATATAAGCTTCTCTTATTTAAACTCATGTGTGCAAAATATTGTTTGTCAGTGGGGAAAAATGTTCCTGTCTTAGGTGCATTAATTTAATCCTCCTGAGTTTCAGGCTGACGCTCAGGCTCCTGTTGTGTATTTCCTACAGCCGCTTGGAAACATCATCCACTTCTTGTGGTCAGTCTGTGCTTGGGGAAAGGGCTACAACTCACCTTCTCCTGTTCTACAGCACTATAAACTCTTTACAGCTGTTATCCATCTTGTCTCCAATTCTGTGTTGGACATGCTGCTCTCTAAAACAGAGTTCTATATATTACATGTATGATCTATATTTTTGCACCTTATAGGCGTGTGTTTGCATTGAACTACATTGCACCATTATTCCAGGGAACCCAGTTTACCATGAAGTTCCAATCACTTGATAGAACTACTTTTTTTCCTTATTAATGGTCTCCATTATGGTTTATCTGTGAAGTTTCCCAGTAAATGATAAATATGTTGAATAGAACTGATCCTGCAACACGCCATTATAAATGCTCGCTAGAATTACTTTCTGAGTCATAATCTTTTTAGCATGTGGTGCATTCATTTTGTATAGTGCTAATTTTTAATCAACACATCATTTGGTGAGAAATTATATCAAATCTTTTAGTAAAATCTAGATGTATTACATTGCATTGTCTCCATTCACTGATTTTATCAATAGAAGTAATTATCTGGCATTATTTGTTTTCTGTGTGCTCTCTGTGGCCCATCGTCTGCAGTTATCTTTAAAATCCGCATGTTGAACCTTAGCCTAATTTAATCTCTTTGAGGCAGGAACAATTCCAGTGTTAAGACAGCACAGAGCACAAAGGGAATTCAGAGAACTACTAATAATAACCGTATGCCCAATATTCTTCAACTCTCTGCTGTGATCCAGTTGTTTCCCATTTATTGCATTACTTTAGTCAGGACAGAATTTGAAGTACGAAGTCCAGAAAGGGACTTTGGTACCTATAAGTTACATCTTGAAGTGTCCATATTATAGGATTCTTCCTCTAAGAAGAATTTTAAAGCCTGTGTTACAAGTCCACACTTCTTAAATGGAGCATATATACATAGAGACACCTGAAAAAGAGCTATTTAGAATTAGCCTCTAAGAAAGACTGAAAACAAGTCTGTGTTTGAGATCCCACCACTCTCCATGACAGAAAAATTTTGCTGCATGTCATCTCACTACCCCAGAATATTTATTCTTTTAGAAATGGAGTAAGATTCACTCTTTTCCTATGAACCGTGAAAAACATCCCTCTCTCCTGTCTTCTGCATACAGGTGCGGTGATCTGAGCACTGAGACAGATCCCTTTTCTTCTGGAGTCTGGAATTTCAAGTCCATGTCTTGTATCACAGGACTGTGTTGCAACATCAAGCTGCCTCGAAAAAGGTAAGCGGTGGCTGCGTGCTGAGGCTGTTCTGTTGGGAAAAGGAATATCAGACTCTCAGAGAAGAAGGGCCGTTGCAGAGGGTCAGGTTGACTCCCCAGGAGGAAGTGTTACTCTAAAAAATAACGACCAAGATATGGATATGAAAGAAGGATCTCACGTAGCCCCGCAGCCCAGTACTCCTACTGCTAGGGACGGGCCCCAGTTTCGTACCAACTGTGCAAGGGCTCAGGACTACTCGTCACGTTTGATGAAAATTTGTCTTTGCCTACATGGTGCTTTGTTTGGGTTTGCTTAGCTGCAACAGCATTTTTTCTAATGACCAACTGTCTACCACCTGGCATTAAACCATAATTTTTCTGCAGATAGTAGCAAGTAGTTATTCTGTGTAGAATGACCTATTTGTGACCCTCACAGGACGGCGTAGTGCAGAGGAGTGTTGGTGTGGTGTGACAGCAGAGGCCTTGCAAGTGGGGACACAGGATGCAGGGTGGAGGAGCCGGAGCAGAGGCTGAAAAGAGGGGGCTCGGGATGCCACTGGGGACCCAGTGCTGTGAAGAGGTCGCCAGTGCAGGCTAGGAGCTGGGCAAAACTGGTTTTTGGAATATCAAAGAGCTGAAACAGCAAGTCTCAAGCAAATGTAAAACACACTATATACAGTAAATTTGGATGTAAAATGGAGTTGGAGACCAATAAAGCAAGAGCAAGATGCAAGAGCATGTTGGGAAAATAGCCCCAGGTGGGGGTCCACTGAGTCGGGAGGAGGAAGCCATCAATATCATTCTCCTCCTCCCTGCAAAGAACTGGAAGAAACTCCATCATGAATACCACACTTCTCCTGGCAAAGGGCATGGGACGTTGATGGCTTGCTGCAACCCCCATCTTCTTCTCTAGCAATACTGATGCCATCAAATACAGGACCAAAAATATAAATCTAAGGGACAACCCAACAGCAGAGGTAGATACTAGGTAGGTTTCGTACAACATTTTAACTCTATTATTAATGTCATTCTGTATTAATCAGATAATTTGTGCTGTGGCAGGTAGTATTATTGTGACTAGATTAATCTTAATAACTGTCTGTTGTATTGCAATTAATCTTAAGATTTTCATTAGACTAACAATACATTCTTGGCTTCCCATATGAGGTGCGTTTTCTTTCCTGCCAATAACAAGTTTTTGAGTGCAACACTGGTCTTAGAATTCACTTTCATGCAATACCCATGGTAAGGAGTAGTGGCAACATAAAGAATCACCACACCATAGTTTACTTCAATTTTTTTAACTTTATTTTTATCTGAGCAAATAATTTTTAAAATTAAAATTAATTTTTTTCCTGCAGTCATAGTTCTACATATTTAGCTAAATAACTTCTGCAATCCTAAACTCTGCAGTAAAAATGATTTTTCTAAAATAGAAGCTGTCCCTTTTTATTACAATGCCTTTTTTACATATCTGATCTATTCCTCAACACAACAAACAGATCATGAAAGTATTACTTTCAGTCTGATTGTAAGTAAAGTATATGCATTCCATTGTCATCAAGAAAGAAAAAGGATTAAAGGAATAGGATGCAATTAGTTAAAATCTGAACATGAGATATGTCTAAAATGAGATATTTCTGTTTCAAAGGTCTCTCTCTTCAAAGGTGAAGGGGTATTTAGAAATATTTTAAACACCAAAAAAAATAAGAGTTAAATAAACCTGTATATCTTCATTTGTTTAGTAGAACTACTTTTATTATTATTCATTTGCAGAATTTCCCAGAAAACATACTGTGAAAAAAAGTCTTTGATGGATATGTGATATGTGTTAGTATTCGCATTTCTCATGCTGTCTGTCTTCCTTTACTACACAAGCAGAATCAATTTAATTAATTAGATTTAGATAGCAAACGTCTGTAAGAAGCTTATTTTGGAAAGCAACTATAAAAAGAATAGCATATTTTAAGAAAGCTTTTCAAAGAGAAACTAAAAGAGTAATATTAGAAATTCAGTTTCAGACAATATAAAGAACAGGGTATGTGTCAAGTGCAAAGATTCACTGCATAGTGAAATATATACCTAAGTTTTGGAGAGTAATTCAAATAGACTTCTGTGCTGTATTTACTTTATAGGAAAACCAATGGCCATGAGGCAGACATAAGGCAATGGTGCAGAAGGTGGTTATGGCTTCACTTCTACAACTTGAGAGACTCTTTTAGTATACTAAGTTCACAGATGGGTTCGGAAGTTGCACGGAGGCTGATATTAAAACCAACGCTATATTCTGCTTATGGTTTGGACTCCTGAATGAAATAAAAATTAAAGGTCTGATTAAAAAGAATAAATTGAGCTAATTTTTGTACCATGACTAATGTTTATTTCTTTACCAGACTATGTTGTGCTGCGAAAATCTACTATCAGAAACAAAAAAAATACAATCAGGTTTGAGAGAATAACCAATAAAGGTTTTTATCACATTGATTTGCTGTGTTGAGAGAGGGTCCCATGCCACAGCTAGGGTTAGGGTTAGGGCTTCAGCATCTATGGCGCTGATCTTCTCTGCAGCCTGGAGGACAATGCCAACAGGACCCTCATGGGTTTCAACGCAGATAAACGCAGAGCCCTGCACCTGGGATGGATGAGCCAGGCATGGGTACAGGATGGGGTCTGGGTGGCTGGGTAGCAGCTCTGCAGCAAAGGTCTTGGCAGACAACAAGCTGAACACAAGTGAGCAGAGCACCCTGGCAGCCACGAAGGTTAACAACACCCCGGGTGCAGGAATGATAGCCGAGCCAGCAGGCAATGGCAGTGCTCTTTTCCCCCAGGTCACATCTGGGTACAGCATCGGTACCCCTGCCATAAGACAGTCAAGTTGCAGAGACACCAGTGCAAGACCATTAGGATGATTATGGAGTTGATGATTAGAACATAATAAGCAAGAAGAGCAGAGGGAGCTCTCCTTGTGTAGCCTGGAGATGAGAAGGATGAGGAGGATTCTAACTGGTCTCTTCCACAACCTGAGTGCAGCTATCTGATAGCGTGAGAGTTGCCTCTGAGGTGCACAACAGAAAGGACAAGAGGCAACAGTCACAAGCTGCAGCAAGGGAAATCCTAACTGGATACAGGACAAAATTTTACAAGTGGTTAAACACTGGGAAGGGTCACCTGGTGAGGCTGCTCAACCCCTGCCTTTCAAATCTCAGCTGAACAAGGCCCTGAGCAACTTGACCTAGCTTTGAAGTTGGCCATGCTCAGAGCACGAGGACTAGATGAAACATGTAGGTCACTTCCGACCTCAGTGATCCTACCATTCTTTGATAAAAACAGCAGGTTTCCACATTTTGGACAATGTGAAATAGTGCTTTCCCTGCCAAGTTATCTACCATGCTGAGATGGCCTTATGATGCAAAGCTGTATTTAAGGTTCGTGTTAGATTCATAGTTGGACAAACATCTACAGCAATAAGTAAAATTAAAGTTACTGAGTTTAAAAAGTTGGATTAAACTAAGCTTTAGGTAATAATGCAGAATAATTTGCATTACTAAGATTCTCTACCTGAAAGGACTATTAAGACAAGGCTCAATAACTAGGTAAAACATGTTTTTAATTTTAAAAGGTGTGATAAAGCAGGTTTTGAAGTATGACTCCTAAAATTTCCTTGCCGTACTGAGTTTCTGTGATGTGAGTGTCTTCTCAGCCAATGCTAAGATGAGGCAAGGTTTGGTCTTGCAGAAGGCAAATTCAAGACTACTGATGGAGCTGAGAAAAGAACGCCGAGTTACAGTTCAACTATACATGAGAGTGACCCTTTCTGATACATGGTTCATGACTCAGTTCTTGGGATCTAGGTGGCACCGAAGAGAATGCTTGTGTTGGGAGTCTGCTTCTACAAGATGCCAGGTAGCCGTGGAATTTAATTCTGTATTGAATTCATGGGCTGGTTCTTGGAATTAGGTATGCTGCAAGGCTAAAACTGGACAGAGGGTTGAGATTAGTAGATCTTCAGCAATTATGTATAAGGCATTTACACTTCTGTTAGGAGCCCAAGCTTGTTCTGTATAAAGATTAATACTAAAGCATGTATAATATTTTTCCAAAAGACTTTTAAAAAGTAGAAACTTTTTAAAAATGCAAACTTTATAAGTGCCTTGCCCTTTTAAAGGGTTATTTATGTTTCTTGGGAAACACACAAACTGGACTAAAAATATATTTTGTAATCAAACTACTTCTAAATTTACTGTATAACTCCACATAGCTATGCTAATTATATCACTATGAAAAGATACACCGAAACTGTAATGACTAAGGACCTGAAGTTAATATTTAAAGTGTAATATTAATTTGTACTGAATTATCTGTTAAACTCAAAAGGATTAATGAGTTCATTGTTCATTTTTGTTCTGTTGAGTTCCTATAAGAATGAACTTGGCCCAGGTTGTTTGATTTTCTGTAATGATTTAGATATCCAATATATTTAAGAATCATTCTTTTCCTAATTTTTCTCTTAGTCATCCAAAGTAAGATTGATTTACCATTTTTAAAGCTACTGAACTAGCAAATTTGGTTTTTTTCCATCTACAGTTAAATTCTAAATCAAATATGTAAATATGAAATGAGATACAACTATTCAAAAATATTATCTTTTTCTTAATTTCAGGGAGCTTTGTGTTTACCTCTGAGGAAAATTCAGAATGCAATCCATGTGACTATTTTAAAATCTGCCATTTACTTTTGCTTTACATTTGGTTTTGCATTTTTCGGTGTTTTATTTTGTTTTGGTTTGTTTTTTTCACAAAAAAAATGAAGTGTTCATGAAGTTACTTTCTCAGCTTTGACAAATGCTAGTTGCACTGGCAGCTGGCCAGTATCTTTTCTTTCAGAATAACTTTAACACAACCATGCTATGGTTACCTAAATAGTAGGATAATTTTCATGGAATTCTTGCTACTGTGACTCTGGAATGTATGCTGCTGGTATCTGGCAACTGCCCCAAACTAATTAGTTCTTTATTTTTGAGG